ATCTCATGGTACCATGTTTAAGTCCTAACAGGAAGTTGTGGTTATTTTGAGGGATTGTGATGGGCTGACATAGGTTTTAGCTTTGCCTTACACTGCCCCCTATGGGTTTGGCATGTTTAAAACAGCATTCAGTGGTGTAAATCAACGGGTTTGTGTGGATGAACATTTTTCTTAAACCATTCACGTGTGGGCAAGATTACATTATAGAAATTAATATCTCGTATAGAACACCCGGCTAACTGTGGACTAGGCCTAAATTAATAACTTTATATGTCATACTCTCCATTTTATTAAAATGGTTTCTGCCAAGTGGTTCTATAGGTGTTACCCATCTCTTCCGTCTTAAAATATGAATTTTTTGCAGGCTCTAGTTGCCTTTATTGTAAAATAAATGGCCAGGAAATGGGGACAAGAGAGAGGGTGAATCTTGCAGCAAGTGGTTCGAAACTGGTAATCAAACCCAGGATGCTGAGGACTACAGCCTCCCCACATGGTGTGCATGCTCCACCAATTGAGCCACCAGCGGATAACCAATAGGGAAAAAGATATGAAGGAACAGTAATAAATGTCTTCAAATGAAGTAAAAATGTGACAAGATCTATAATTAATCTCGCAAGCCATACCAGTTCTTCCTGAATAGCTTTTGAAGCTTGCAAATAAGTTTTTCTTTTAACTGTTATTAAGCGGGAGAGATGAAGCAGAGGAAACCGATCAGGTAGCGGAGCTACAATAATGACTTGGAAGGCAGAAAGGGACAACATATTAGAGCTGCATATTAGAGAGTATAAGACCCTCTCCCTGTCGCCCTGGCATCACCACCACCCACCACTCTCAAGTGGTTAAATCTCAACAATATGAAGCATGTACGGGGAGAATTCCCCATTCAATTTTAAGAAGTGAATTTCAGGCTCTGATGAACACAATTCTAAGAGTAACTATAATTTAACCACATAATTTTCTCAGTTACAAGTGTTGTGACCTCAGATTTTATAAAGGCATTTGGGGGAGATGATGATGAGGTAACTTGAGGCAGTAAGAAATATTTCTGTGAATCTGAATAGCTTCATAAATGAGATATTTTTAGACACCACAAAAAATATATATATATATATATATATATATATATATATATATATATATATTTTTTCCCTAACCAGCCATCCTTAGCTATTATTACAAATACGTAAATTCACTCAGGCGTCAATGCGTAAGCTTGAGTAAAGCTTCTGAATACTTTATCTGCCACCACATCTGAGGCAGACTCTGGGTCAATTGGTTTAGTCTACGCTGAAGTCAATTTAGATGTTTCAGGCCTCGCAATAAACCAGCGGAGAACTGAGCCCTCTAACTCTGAGTCCCACAGCAGATAATCAAATACAAGGTCAGCAGGGTGTATTCATACTTGACACTATAAGTACTTGTCAATAGCCCTTCATTTGTACATAACATAGATTTGCTACTAACTGCTACTTTCAGGTCGCATATTTCACTTGACAGGTTAAGATAGCACGTCTTCCACCTCCCTTGCTTCATTATTGCATCATGTTTCTCTGTGTTAAGTGTCTGTTTTATGTTGGAAACATTGCTCTTTCTTTCCTCTGGCCCTCCTGTTCTCATCTCTGGTTTGCACAAAGGGACAGTTTTGCTCTCACAGTAGCGGGTAGACTTTGATGTGGGCTGACAATGTGACTTATGCCTCTGCTAAATTTAATCATATTAGCTAGTTAACCATGCTGCCACCATGTGACCCACTGACAAAAACCAAGCTCCCTTTGCACTCTCTTCAGTGCATGTACCCCCACCCCCTTCTGTTTCTAAGATAATCTAGCCTTGGGATTGAGGGGGCGCAGCAAGCAGAATGCTCTTGGGAGATCCAGTTAATGCTAATATGTGTAAATATTAGAGTTTTTTTATGAGACACAGAGGACCGGAGTTATTAAAAGACAGATTGTATCTGCAGGTTTTTAAAAATACGTAGCTCGCCTATATCGCCTAATATTCTTTCAAAAATATTTCTTCTTATCGTGCTTTAAACCGTTTTCATGTTCTGAACAATGGAGTGTTTTACTACTATAGTTCTTGTTTTTCTTCCAGTAATCAATGCAAAAATGGAAAAACAAACAAACAGCAGACATTAAAAGGCTTATTGTTAGCATTCATCTGTGAATCTGACAAAATTGGAAATGCACTGAATACATGTAAATACCAGTTCTTTCTGCATGGTCCCAGATCCACCAATTACCATGGTTCATTTTTCATGTGTCAAGTAATCCCAACCTTTTAAAAAGTTGTGTTTTCAAAATCCTCTTCTCCCCCCAAATTTCTCTCACATGGAGCCTATTTCATGTAGGAGCGACCACAGCTTTTTCTTGGACTATTTTTACAATAATGTAACACAGGGCTGCTTTTCCCCTTTATGTCACTGCGCACACTAGCTAAAAGAAAGCCAATATACATTTCCGCCGGCAGACAAATGTGTCAGGATGTCTATAAAGCACTGGACTGCAGGCTGGCTATTTACGTTTAAAGCCAACTAGCATTATCTGATTACAGTGTTAATCAGAAAGGTAAAAGTTACAACTGTATGTGCAATAAGCACTTACAAGTAGTATTGAGTTGAAGTTGTTGTTCATAATATTGCTTAACTCTATAATTTCATCCATAATTTTGTTTAAGATCAAAATAACAGTCGATAAATGATGTATGTTACATTATTATTGCTTAAATAATCTGTATGGTACATTATTATAGTAACAGTGAAAATACTCATTGCTTTTCCTCTGCAATATATTGTTTTAATCTTTTTTTTCCCCCAAACATCTTCAAATTGTGGCATCTTTCCTCGGGGTTATCATGCTGTGAGAATCTCATTCTGACAGTCTCAAGTAGAAACAGAACATATGCCAAAAGAACAAGAACTTCCCCATCTCTCACATTAGTTTTTTTGTCTTACAGCAAATGGTTAAGACTTACCCGTTTAAGAGTGTTTTTATTTATTTTTTTTTATTTTTTTTATGTGGTGTTTTTATTTGCCATTTTTAGTCTTTCTATAATTTTCATTTCTCTAGTGGTCTAAACTGCAAAGAGATGATGGTAAAGAAAATGGCATAGATTGCTGTTAAGCTTCAAGTTGTAACTAGAGGGACTGCAAAGATGATTAAGTTTTATAAATGTGATGTCAAGTAAAGAAGAAGAATAAAACATTCCTTTTGACTAAATTCTGTCACTAAAACTTAATGTTTTTGAGATAAGGCTTTTTCTAAAGAGCTTTTTTTTTTTCTTTTCTAATTATTTTCTTGTCATTGCTGGATTGACCGTCCATACATAATTAATGCATCCGAGTGCTTGATCCACCGCTGCTTCTGAGGAACATCATGTGTCAGTGGGTCCATTCTTCTCCAAAGGCAATATAGAATTTAATCCACCACAATCACTTTAAGACTTTTTGGGATTTTGCAAAGGCAGCTGCTCGATACGTTTAAATAAGCAATAAATATTTTTGCTAGCCATCTCTTTCCTACCTATATGTCGCATGCTTGTCAAGCCAATTATTACTCACCATAGCAGCTTGACAGAAAACTCGCTGAACTCAGACTTCAGTGATAAACAGTAATTGATAAAGTATAATATGGAAAAATTCCACTCATGTAAATGAGTATAAATCACTATATAAATGAATAGAAACCGATTATAGATCAGACTGAAGACATTATATAGATGCTTTGGCATAAGGAATTAAATTTGCAGCTAAGTTTATTTCAATTTTCATTGTTTTTAGTTTTAGTTTTTAATTGTGTTAAGCCTTTGTTGGCCCTAACAATGGGAGGGACAAACATGACTGAACTATAAGCAAAGCATAAAAGAAACTAGCAAAAACTACAAATCCCAGAATACAAAGTATTAACCCATTTTCATGCCCACCCAGAATCTCAGTGATGTCACAGAGCAGGGGGCCTCAAATCTAGGCCTCGAGTGCCGGTGTCCTGAAACTTTTAGTTTTGCCCCTGGTTCAACATGTCTCAAATGGCTGAGTTACCTCCTCAGTCCAGTCAAGTTTGTCATAGTCTTGATAATGACCTGATTATTTTTGACCCAGGTGTGTTGAAACAGAGACATCTAAAACCTTCAAAATACCGGCCCTTGAGGCTTAGATATGAGGATCGCCATCAGAGAGCAGCAAAACTCGGCAAGCAACAGAGTTGTTTCTCATTGCTTGCAACTCTCCATTGAGAAGGACATGCACATGAATGACTTTAAGGCCAAGTAAAAGACTGCATTTTGGAAGAAACATTGGATTCACACCATTGTACGATCTTGTGTACCCAATGTACTGTACTCAGGCGAAAATAAGACTAGAAATTTGAGTTTTAGCATAAAATAATCTGATTAAAAGCTTTTCTAGGAACAGATGGGTTATGACTAATTATGTTGAACAATTTTTTTGCCACTACCTGAAGAAGACTGCATTGAAACCACAGCTCCACACACCTGATGCCGTCAGCAGAGCAAGCAGACACTTGCCCAGACTCTAGACCAGTGGTTCTTAACCTTTTTTGAGGTACCGAACCCCCCAGTTTCATATGCGCATTCAGAAAATACTTTGCGGTATTCTGATTTAGTAATGTAATTATATTAGCTGTGTTACCACCCCCACGCCACTAGAGGCAGTAGCAACCCCGAAAAGATGCGACTAAGGAGCAGATTTAGACTATAGAATTTAGTAAAAACGGTGAGTTTTGCTGAAGTAATTAAAGAGACAAGTTCAAATCCATGCTGAGAGTGGAACTCCTTCAATCACTGCTCCTCCGCAGCACTGATTGGCTAAGCAATGTAACGTGATCCTCTGCAGCAAGTGATGGCAAAGCGGGGCGTCATCACGACTTTAGACAAGTGTGTCTTTACCTCCGCGGCAGAGGCTCCGCCGAACCCCTGAGACCGACTCACCGAATCCCTGGGGTTCGATCGAACCCAGGTTAAGAACCACTGCTCTAGACCAAGAGAACTCACCACGTCTTCTTTGCTCATCAGTCCTGCAGAACTCACAGACCCATCAGATGAGCTCCTCTGCTCACTATAACTGGTCATAATGACTGCTGTGTCTGGGAAGAGGAAAATGGTGACGAATAAATGAACAATTTTCAAATTGTTTATTTCGTTGTATTTTGCTTTGTTTGTGTTGCTGAAGTGTTTTGTAGCTAAAAGGGCACAGAAGGTGATGTTTTGTAAGACTGATTGCAACGTGAGCTTATTCCATCCTATCTGGATCTTCTTTCTTGCTTCTCACCAACCTGCTTTACATGCATGTTTCATTCCTATAATGCGCTAAATTGTGTCGCCGTAATTCCGATGCAAATGCTACACCTCAGAGCTCTGCTAATTCAAAGATGGTTGCTGCCATTAGTTATGATGCGTTTATTGCGCAACAAGTTCTTCTGAAGTGGTGGTCAACCATATGATCATTTACACTTTAATATTTATATTAACGGTACTTACACTGACACTGACATTTTGTATTACCAAAGTAAAAAAAAACAAACAAAAAAAAAACTGCAAAATATTTGCAGTAATTTTTCACAATCAATAATAATAATACCAAGCCTGTTTTAGGTGGATTAGAAGAGAACCAGCCTCTTCACTTGTGGTTAATCCCACTGAACTCGCCCACATTTCTTGTATAGGTCGTCTTTGTTACAAAAGTAATCACCTTATTTATTTTTGTACTGTAACTGAGTGGCCAACTAGTTCATCCCATATAGTCTAATTGAAATGACCTTTTTCCCTTGAAAACAGTTTGTTTGTTCTGTCGTTACAGCCACAGGGACAGGCTTCGAGGAAGGGTGGTACGATTATTCGTCCATATGGAAGTTTTGAGTGTGATTACAAAGGCTTTATTATGTTAGAAAAGATCTAAAATGTGTGTGCCCTTTAAACTGATGAGGATGGTTTGTTAGGCTGTGCACTGAGAACATTTGATCACCATGCATTTTATCAGTATAAGTAGGTATGATCTTTGGAAGAGAGACAAACAAGTCTTAGGGAGTTGCAACTGATAGCACAGAGTAATTTGGCACAGAGTGTCCCTGCCTAAAAGTCCACGAGGGAGAGAAAAGACCTGCATGAAAGGTTGACACCGCTGTTATGAGCGTGTGTGCCTAGCACTTTGTGTGTATATGTCAGAGTAAATGTAGGAGAAAGGATGAGAGTGGTCTTGATTACAGCTGATAGGTTTATTTGAGGAAGGTCAGGAAGATTTGGGAGAAGACCAAGACACCAGTAGCTGATGGGGATGATAGAAGAGTTAGGGCACTGTTAAAACACGCATTTCTGTGTGACAAAAGCAAATGGACCTGAGCACAAAAAAAAAAAAAAAAAATCTGTTTTATCCGAATCACAATTGCAAATTATGAAAAAGTAACTAAAACAAAGTGAAGACAGTGTTTCAGCATCAATTCTCTTCTGCACTGGTGTTCTCCTTTCACGGGTCTTTGAGACTGAACATACCCACAAGTGTCGAGTTGTCACAAAGAGTCTGTTTGACAGCAGCGTAAGCCCCCCACGGCTCATCAGAAGTGCCAATCCAGAGATGCTGCATGCCATGGCAGTGAATGATAGATCTGAAGGTCAAAAAATAGACAAATGAATGACAGTTTAGTGGAGAGATATGCAGATTTAAGAATTATAATTGGGTGTCAGCCACTGTTGGTTACAAATAAAAAAATCCTTTCAGGATGTAATTGGCAGATATCTTATTATTCACTTTTTTTTTCCCTTTTTCTTTTCTTTTTTTTTGCCGTTTCTTGTCAGAAAATTATACTGCATCTTATGTCTTTGCAGTCAAAAAGCACCCTGAGCAACTCCCGACGTGTGGTTCTCTTGTGTCCCTGCTTCTCCTCACCAGCTCCTGAGTGGAAGAATCTCTTCATCCTCATCATATTATTATCCCTCCATAGCCTGATGAACAAGCACCGATGACAGTGTGTATTTGATTATTGCCGCTGTTGCCCTCCAGGCACTCTGTGTTTGATTACACCTGCCTTGGAGGTTGCTCTTTTTCTGATTACACTGGCTGTTATTTCCTCCTTGTAATCACACCCATGAATAAAGCTCTTGTGTTTTTTTTTTTGTTTGTTTTTTTGGCTGGGATTTGAAATGAGGGCCTTATCTATGTGTAAACCTCTCTGTTTTTGGTGTTTTGTTCAGTGGGTAAAAGGTGATTACTGATAGCTCCGAGGCTTGTTTGGGTATGATTGCTTTTGCCTGGCAGGCTAGCGTTTAGAATAATTTGTGCCCTCAACAACCAGTGTTTATTTTTGTCAACATTCCAATTACATCAGACCAATCAGTGTGGTCACAGCCCAGTCTTCTCATCCCCACATATCAGCTGTGTCAACATCCTCTGTCATCTCGGGTTGTCACAGCGATTGTAACTCTATCACTCAATCTTTTTATTTGCTAATTGCATTTGCATCCAACTTCAGGAAACAACAAACACGGCCCTTGTCCCCACTTCATTTTTTTGCAACAGATATATTCAGTGAATATTGTCCAAATCCCATAATCCGTATGACAAATTGGGTAAAAAGTCCATGAACCATGTATTTTGAGGGACTCTGTCACCATGGTGGGATAATCATCAACTTTAGAACAGCACCTCAAAGCCAATTCATTTTTTGTCATTCTTTCTAGTAAGTAATAAAGTGCTTTCTTCTCTGATTGAAAGAGACAAATCTTATTTGATTTTTTTTTTTTTGACAGGAATAAATGAGGAGACCCCCCACATTTGGTCTAACTCAAGAAAGCTAAAATTACACGAAGGCATGTTACATCGAGTGCGTGTCCCAAAAGCATAATTTCTCATATTTTTGAAAGGATATTTGCCTCGTTTAGACCTAAACATTTAGTTTGGTGTAGATTATTAAAGCTTTTGATTGTTGCAGTTTCATTGCTTGAAAAGGTTTTAGAGCTGTAAACATTTTGTGCATGAAATATTGTGCCGACTTTCATTTAAGATTTAAGTTGACTTGCAGTTATATAGATTACAACCTTTATGTAGAAAGTGACTTACGCCAATTTCAAGCCCTGTTTGTGTAGATGCGATGTTTATAAATGAGAACCCAGGTTTAACTGCCTAACCAAGTTCACCTTTAGGATGGTAAAGTCTCCAAAAGTAATAAAAGATGGTCCCATAAATGTCATGATGGGACCATCATTCCATTACATCATGACTTGCTGCTAGATTTTTTTTTAAGATGATCCATCAAATGAAAATATTGGATTCATTAAAAGTACTCCCACTTCCCAATATGAACTTATTGATTTTCAAATTATAGCGCTGTTCAGAGAAAGAAGCAAAAGGTTGAATTTGGGGATTAAGAAGGCTTGACATAATCCTGCCAAAGCAGGGATAAGGCCAAAACACAGGTTAACCGTTAAAAAGCAGGGATGAGAAGGCTAGGAAAAAATGCTGCAAACACAGAGAGAAAGCAAATAAAATATAGCATCTCTTAACATAAGAAGCAATAGATTAGTGTAGAACAACAGAGAAAATGCTAGGTATTGTTTTAATCCTGTCTGTGGGAGTCCTCTAATCCCTTGTTGTGAGCATCACAGAAACACGTTGGTGTTTTTGTCTTTTGTTCCATGAGGGTAATCCCTGGCCTGCCTGCCCTCCAGTCTGGGGTGGTATGTCTATGCAACAGTAATGCAGCCTAAAGACATAACACAGTCAATAGGACACATACCAAGCCAGTCTTTATAAAGCTAAGTATTACTAATGGCACCATATACATTTTATTTTTATCTGAGTTTCTTGCCCAGCAGTCATTGGGCAAGAACTGGGGTGCAACACACACACACACACACACACACACACACACACACTGAACAAACAATCATGCACATATACACTCATACCTAAGGACTATTTAGAGAGATCATTTAACCTAACAGTTATATTTTTGGACTGTAGGAGGTAATGGAAGAACTCACGTATGCAGAATATGGAACAAACGCCAAGCAAGTACCCTGACTGGAAATTGAATCCAGCACCTTCTTGCTGCAAGCTAACGGTGATGCCAACTGTTTTACTGTGCAGCCTGTAAAACCACTTAGCAAAAATAACAAAAAAAAGTAACAGTGGATGTTTGATTTGTTTTGTCTTTTATTCTATTGGTTGGGTTCAAAGTTTCCAGGACAAGGCTTACTTTAGAAATGCAGTTCTTACAGAAAAGCATGTAGTGGGAAGAGCTTCTCAGGGCTCAATTTCATTTTGAGTGAAAGCCCAGTCACCCAGATGCCGTTAACATATTTCCTCAAGGTAGATGACCCAGGTAGAAACGGGGACAAAGCGCTAAAGAGCAGATTTTCCTCTTCACTCACCCACTATAAGTATTTGTGAATGTTGGTCAAATGACCCCTTCATCATTTCACACCTTGGCAGTTTTAGTTGCTTTGTGTCACCTTTCTTGACCATGCATCAGTTTTAATGATCTCCCCACAGCCTCCTGTAAGGAAATCTAGTGACATGAGGTCAATAAATAATAGATATTAGCAGTTCATTCAGACCTAGTTTGATCTGATATCTGTCATATTTTATAAAAGTCACCCGAATCAGTGATTGGTATCACCAGTAATGGAAATGGGTGAAAAGGAAAATATTTCAAAAATTGTATGCAGTTAATGTGTGTGTTGTCCGCCTGCGGCCATAAAGTACTAAATATAGATGAATATCTAAAATATTACTTTGTTATCTTTTGAAAAATCTATATTTTCAAGTCTAACATGGACATTTGGGCTCAATTTGGGCTTTGCTTTTGGAATGAGTTAGTTTCATTGGCTCAGATTTTCTAATTCACACAAAGTGCTCAGGAGGATTACATCGACAGAAAACTCATCCCAAAATGTATCTGAACTAAAATAAAGGAATATTATACGCTAATGTTTTAAGGTATAGCTCTGGCTTCTTTTGTTCATCCATCCATCCATCCATTTTCTTTACAGTCTTGTCCCTCAGTGGGGTTGGGAGGGTTGCTGGTGCCCATCTCCAGCTTACGTTCTGGGCGAGAGGTGGGGTACACCCTGGACAGGTCGCCAGTCTGTCGCAGTGGCTTCTTTTGTCTCAACTAAAAAAAAAAAGAAAAAAAAAACTCAGAAAATGATATCAAACAATCAAAGATCTCACAGGTAAAGGTTTTTTTTTTTTTTTTTTGCAATTTTTTTTTTCCTATCCAACTAATTTACCATATTAAAACCAAGTCTGAAAGTGTTAAATTAATTTGTCACAAAGTTGTATATCGAAAGAAAGCGATGCAAGTCTTCTTTTGATCTTCAAAAGAAGATGCAAGTCTTCTTTTGATAAAAAGACTTGCATCGCTTAACCAGGGTTTTCAAACCGGAAAAGATGAACTGCTCCAAGCCCGGCACGACCTTGAAAAAGCAGAAGAAATTGAATGGATGAGGAGTTTGTTGCGATTTCAAAATATATATTTTTTTATTTGTACAAAATAACAGCTTGGTTTTATCTGCAACAATAATCAGCACTTTCGGTACATTCTGCAGGTATTATCCTCAGAGTATTTTACAAAGTACACCACCAAATGCTAAATTAGTTTCCTATTGGGTGAAGGGAAAACACTAAGAAAATACCAATATGCCACCTCAGTGTCAGATGTTTATGCCACGGCACAACTGAGTAGAAAGTGCATCTATTTTACCTCCCCTGAAACGCAGTGTGTTGCCTGGTGGCTTAAAGTGATGATGTCAGTGGGCCATAGTGGTTTATGAGATTAAGTCCCAAGAGGAAGTCATAGGCTTTTTAAACCTTGGACAAACAGCCTCTTAATTTAATTGAGGGTGCAACTGGGCACAAAAGTAATGATTGCCTTGATCATAAAAGGCAAAGAGGCATTGTGTACCTCAGTGTTGTTAATAGCAACAGCAAGAGCCAGAATGGTTATGAGTAGATCCAATCAAACTGTGAGTTAAGAGTGGGCAATGACACTCACTAAAGATAGCGCACTTTTTTTTTTTTTTGCATTTTTAAAATCATGAATGGTTATGTTTAAAAGTTAGACGAATCAATATTTAAGACACTTGTCACAGGAAAACATCAAAGAACTCTCCTGACAGCTATTTGTGGCTTCTTCTCTGTGCCTCAGCATGAAAGAACAGTGGTTCTAGTATAAAGTGCAACCTTCCAACATGGAATCAGTCTATAGTGACATGGACACCCACACACTTTACAGATCTGTCTATAAACTCCCCAAGCAGCTCAAATCAATTGAAGCCTTAAAGGGGAATGGTACTGTGAATATTTCTGCCTTGACAGAGCAGAGCTTCAAAGACTTTCCAAAAGAACTTTGGGGCTTGACTGAAGATCATTCCATCACAAAAATCCATAATCATCAATTGGTACATTCACTTTCTGAAATCAAAGTTCTTTTTTTTTTCCTCAATGCCATATCGGATGTTTCAGGAAAAAAATAAATAAATAAATAAATTCCTCTATGGATAAAACAGTTCAATAAAAACTAATATAAAAATGCACTTTTGGATAAAGCTTCTGACTGTTCTTAGGGTGAGATTAACATAATTTCACAGCAGGATTTACACAGGC